TAGCACTTGTTTGTGGTCATAACTATAGGGCCACATGAAATCTGCATGCTCAGAGTTCCGCAGATTTTCTGCAGATTTTTAGCCCATCATTAATTCTGTTTATTTACTTAAGTAAATGTGTAATACTATATTTTTTCAGTTTTTAAATTAAATACAGTAATGTTGTTGACTAATATGAAAATGTTCATCTAATTTATGTACAATGCAGTTTCTTCAGTAATATTTTCTGTCTTTAAGTAAACATATGAGAGACTTGCTTTGTTTGCCCAATAAAGTAAATCTAATTGGATTTGCATTTTAAACATTAAATACAAGTTATTATTTAATATATAATTTTTTTTTTATTTCACATATTAAGGTTTTAGTTATGATACTCCCAAAATAATTCCGCAGAAATCTGCAGATTTTTACCAAAATTCCTGCAGAAATAGCAAAATACGTCTGCAGATTCCATCTCGCCCTAGTCATAACTTATAAAATTATGTTCAAAAATGATTTATCCAGTATCATTTTATTTATATCAATATGATTCTGGCATAAGTTCATTATGAAATGTGCCCTTGTAAAATCCATCCTTCTGAGAGCAGGGGATTTCTCATAATCTGACTCTAGTTCCAAGAAGCCACGTCAGGTGTCTAATGTCATTCTTCTGTACAGCTCAGCATTTTTTTGTCCATGCTTAATGAGTGAAGATTAGATTTCCTGTGAGGACTCTCTTTTGAGCTGATTTACTTAACATCGACATTCCAATCCTCTATTTCCCACCTTTATTGAAGCAGCGTTCATTTGTTCACCTTGTTCCCTTAAGGGCCAGTCTGTGTGACTGATCTCCTTCTGTTAGATTGTTCCAAATTAGCTGATTAATTTCTGTTATGACATTTAATACTGATAGCAGAGGGAAGAAGCCTGGTGGAGAGGATGTCAGTTAGGGCTGACGCTTCTAGAATCAATTCTTCTAGAGACAGCATTGCCAGCAATTCTTCATAATCTTCTCTGAAGTCAATTGTATTTTGAAATTAAAGAGCGTATACTGTACGGTACCATCACACAGGTACAGCTTCTTTCTTGTTTTCCATTTGCATATTGATGAGGTCTGGACTCATGCCTAATTTATTTCTCCCACTGGGGTTCAGTCCAAAAAGGCAGATTCCCAGTAAGTCGAGGTCAGAGACTATAATATCTATCTTGTAAGAAAAAAATCACCACTACAGTGTAAGAAGTGTTGAAATGTTTTGTGTCAAGGTTGATTTTTAGAGTGACCCAAAATATGATCCGTGAATACAACAACGAACAAAAATCAAAAGTGGTTTGTTCTCTAAGATTTTGTAAAGTTTGATTGCGGTTTTTAGGTCGCCCTTTTTGTTGTTACAATTAACAAATCGTTATCTAAGACTTTTATTTTAATAAACTACTAACTATTTGCTTATTACTAGTTAGTAAGGTAGTAGTAGGCATTGGGTAGGATTAAGGGTGAAGAAAAAGATCATACTTTTTACAGCACAAATAAGCAGCCGATGTCTTAATAATTGGCAGGTAATAAGCGAGTAATTAGTACTGCATTAGTAGTGAGTGTGTGACCATCTAGCCTGCAGTATAATTGCAGTAAAACCCTTGAAACAATGATGCTGGTTAAGAGTTTAAATGATCTTTTAGTAATCTGTCTAATATGTTAATTTGGTGCTCCAGAAGCATTTGTTCTTATGATCAGTATTAAAACAGTTGTACTGGTTAATACAGTTTTATGCTGTATAAAATTTGAGCACCCCTCTGTGGCTGCATAATTATGTACTCTTTCTTTAAAAGAGAATATCACAGTGAAATGCCATTGACTTTCTAGAGAAAGCTATATAATGGCATGTTTTTCAGACAGAAATATGCACTATAGCAGTATTGAAATGTGTGAAATTAAGTTGAAACTGAAAAATAGGCAATGCAAAAGTTTTTCTCTTTTGTCTCTCTTTTGTGTGGATTTCAAAACCTGTAGTCACTTAATGCTGATTGATTACAACACAAAACTGATTTGAGTGACTCAATGAACCTTAACAATCCTAACACAAGTGCAAGCAATCATGCAAAGGGATATTAAAGATAGCTGATTGCTAGTAGTGGAAATACTATGTTCTCCCAGTGTTTGTGTAAGTTTTGTACAAGATTCCCCCACAGTCCAAAGACATGCAGTATATTGTAGGTTAACTGGACAAACTAAACTGGCCATAGTGTGTGAATGCGAGAGTGTCTTTGTATTTCCCAATGTTAAGTTGTAATCTCTGTGCTGCATTGTGGTTGGAGGGGCATCAAAGTGAGTCAAAAGTAATCTAAATGTAATCTAAGAAGTACATTCAATTTCATTAGTAATTACATTACCGAAAATAAATGTATTTCTTAGATTATATTTAGACGTCTTTGTTATTTTAACTAATTTTTTTGTTAATTTGTAATTAGTAACTACAATGCTACCATCTAGAATTCTACATTCTTGTGAGAATTTCACCAAGCACAGATAACAAAGGTTTACTTTTTCAAGTCAGAAAATGTCATTTAAATGAGTAACAAATTAGATCAAGTAAATTCGCTGTAGTGTAAGGCAAGGCAAGTTTATTTATATAGCACATTTCATACATAGTGGCAATTCAAAGTGCTTTACGTAAACAGGAATAAAAGAGACAATTATAAATAAAATAGAAGTAAATAATATAAAAACAGATGAAAACACCGTAAAGATATAAAGTTTATAGTCACATTTTACTCTGGGACTTCATGGGGATCATCATCACCCCCCCCCCCCTCTCTCTCTCTCTGTGGACTATTTCGGTATCTATTAATCTATTAGATTTTTCTCCTAAAATCAAAAAGTTAAGCTTTACAGCTCTAATAACATGCCCCCCAATTTCAATTTCTTTCTGGAAGTAAATGGCATGGTTCCTGGTTTCTACCCCCACCCGGGAGTAGATTGCTTTAGCTAGCCAAACGTAATGAAAGGTCTTGATATGAGCCAGACACAAGAGACTTAGGCCCTACTTACACTATGCTATCCGAACTGTGGATAGCCACAGAACCCAGGCCCGTTTCCTGGATCATTTGAGAAGTGCGAGTGCTCTGAATTGGGCTCAGGCCTGAGCGCCGTTTACTTGGGCTTTGGCGCGGTATGCTTGTGTGTGATTGCAAAACCACTTAAGCGCAAAACTGAAAGCAAGATGTGACTTTTAAGGGACTGTTTCATATGGATTTATTAATCATTCTTACTGTTCAATGAACGCAAACTGTCGTAGATTATTAAAGACGCAAACTCCTCCCTGCATGACAGGTGCACATTCAGCAAACCTCCTAATTCCTATAATCACTTGGACTTTAAGATTGTTTATGAGCGTCAAAAGTGGCGGATCTGTTCAGCGAAATATTTGACTGTGTGTCACCGCATCCCAAACGACTACTAGAGAAGTCTCCACTGTGCTGAGTGAAAGTGCTTACTGAACAGCAAGTGTGCTTTGGCCCAGTTCAAGGCAACTGTACATAGTGTGAGTACACCCTTAAACCCCCATCACCCCCACCCCCCAGTGCTCATTCAGTAATAGCACAGCTAAACAGATGTGTTTTCAGTCTTGATTTGAATGTTGGAGCACATCTGATCATTTCTAGAAGCGGCAGGGGGTGTAGTAGCTGAAGGCAGATTCACCCTGCTTTGACTGAACCCTTGTAATTTCTAGTTTATATGACCCTAAAGATCTAAGTGATCTGTTAGGTTTGTATTCAGTGAGCATATCTGTAATGTATTGTGGTCCTAGGCTGTTTAGTGATTTACAGACAAGTAATAATACTTTAAAATCTAGTGTACGAGTGTGTGTTTGTGTGAATGAGAGAGTGTATGGGTGTTTCCCAGGGTGTTAATGAGTTCTGCTACATAAAAGATATGCCAAACTAGTTGATGGTGCATTCTGCTGTGGCACCCTCTGATAAATCAGGGACTAACTGAAGGTCAGTTAAGTGAGTGAATGAGTATAATCACCCCCTCACAATCACCCTGAGTAAAATTGACTATCATAAGCATCTTTTTAATATATGGTCACAATTTTTCAGAATCTGCAGTGCTACAATATCTATATTTTAGATCCAAAAACCTGAAAATCAATCTTTAGACACTGCATATGATGAGTGCTCATAAATGAGCTTCTGCAGGGCATAGCAGAAACAGAGTTTGAGAAAGTGCATTGTGGTGTTTTTATTAATTTAATGCTATTTGATATTTTGAGAAAACTTTGTCACCTCCGCCATCCCTGATATCTTCTTCAGGTGCATCTGGATGTGTTTATTTTTATAAAAGACATTGCACCAGCTGTTGGATTTTTTTAACCAAGACTTTTATTGATTGTGTGATGGTGAGACATTCCCTGACATTTAACTTTATCACATCCCACAAGTCACAATTTGTTGCCTTTATTATAATGTGAATCAGGACAAAACCACTGCAGTCAATTGTTTTCCAGGTCTCCAGGTACCTCCGGACGTCACATGCGAGTATTGTCTATTTCAGGCTCCCTCTAAAATTTGATGTCAGGGTTTTTATCTATCATGATTTTTTTTCTTCTCTGTCACTGTACATGGGTGTGAGGCCTGGAGAGACTTTATGCTAATGAGACTTTCAGCTATTTTAGTCTCATTTCTCTTCACTCTCCTTCTGCCTCTCTCTTCAGGGATTTATCTCTTGAGTTTAACTATGAAGAGTCAGGAATTCTCTGAGGATTCTTGCCTTCCTCAAGCCACTATTTTTCACCATAGATCACGAAGCCAACAATAAGCCCAAGAGGCCCAATTCCAATTAAGTGTCTAAACTCAGTGTCCTTTATGAATATGCATTGACTGCTCTGTCCAAAACAAATTACCGTCAACTAATTACTTCAAATGCTGAAACAAATCAGTTGGAGCTTATTCAGGAGTGAAAGAAATACATATGTGAAATAAATGTGAAGGAAATAATTTTTATTTACACATCTTTTGTCTTGCAGGTTTGTGCTGGTGTTTTCCTGCCTGGTTCTGTCTGTGTTCGCAACAATCAAAGAGTACAAGAAGAGCTCCGAGAGCGCCTTGTACATCCTGGTTCGTATCTGATCCTTATTTTACATGGAAGATTCATGATGATGTTCTCAGGCTTTTCTATCAGTCACTTTAGATGACAGGGTGTGCATAGATTGAAGATGCTGTAGATCATAGTAGATCCTCTTTCACGTTCAAACTGAACGTGACTTGTGGGATATTGATGTGGATTGCAGTGAACATGACACTTTATAGATCTGTTTGGGTTGGTGTAAAATGAGTCATTAAGTCTTGATATAGTACTCTTTTAAGATCAAAAACACAACTTTTACATTGCTGTTTGTATTTGAAACAAAAGTTTTTTTCACCATGAAAATTCTATTGAACTGTATTATATTTAGTACTGAAAAGTCATTAAATTAGTTACACCTTGCTAGTACAAGCTCGGACCAACTTTTAAACGAAGAACAAGTTTAGGGGTGGTCCAGATTCTGTTTTCAAGGTTCGGTTATGTTATTAAGATGCAAAGCATTATCGCTCATGCTTCATTTGTAAAAAATCATTTTATTTTTTCACATATCTTACATTATTATTTGATTATATACTGCTACATGAAAACGTATTTCCTAGTTCCTCTGAAAGGCCCATCCTCAAGAGGCTCTGATTGGTCAGCTAACATTATGTGCTGTGATTTGTGGATCGGCTTCACATCATCAGGAAAAACGTGAGTTTGTGAGTTCGTTATTCGAGATGTCAAATGCAGGGAAAGCGGCTGCATAGAGAGACACTGCAGCGCTGGTGAAGATTGTGGCCGTTTACAGTGGTTTGATGGATAAATAGTAATTTGTTTACATCCTTGTTTACGTCCTTGCTACAACACACTGTTAACGCTAGAAACTGTTCATGTAATAGATAAATTTGAACAAATAAAAGTACTTACAGGTTGTAGCTCACAATCCACAGCTTCTTCTATTATGGTTGGAGGTGTTTTAACTGAATACAGCACTGAACTGGGAGAGATTCTGAAAGTTCCTTTGTTAAGTGCTAGCTATATATATATTTTGTAATTCTCTGGAACATAATTAAAATTAAATTGTAAGCACTTCTCTCTTTGTGTTCTGTCCTTTGGAAGCCCAAATACAGAAACAGAAGAAGCTCTGTGGAAATAGCAGCGTTTGGATTTTAGCTTTCTCTGCTGTAACATTATAGCGGTTTTGGCCATGCAAATTTGCTGTGTGTAGTGTAAGCGCATGAAGTGTTTGTGATCTCATTAGCCCAGATGTATTTTTTTGTAGTTCCCAAACTTTGTTCGCTGTAGACTTTGCTAAGCTAAATCTGTAAAAATCAACATCTCCCGTTGCATTAAACTTTAAGTGTATTACATTTAAAGATGTTATTTATGTACACACAGCAACATTACACATGAACTAAAGTTTAAAATGTGAAATCGCAGTGGATCACCCCTTAAAGATTGAGCATCATGCATTTGGTGCATATTTATTGATTGGATGTCTATTGACTTGACTTCTGGCATTAAAGGGATAGTTCATCCAAAAGTGAAAATTCTGTCATTGTTTACTTATGTTTGAATTTCTATTTTCTGCTAAATGAGATTATATTTTAAAAGATTGTATTCCTGGATGTCAATGGGTGTTTTTATCCCAGCATTTCTCAGAATACCATCTTTTGTCTTCCACAGAAGAAAGAAATTCATATAGTATCAGAACCAATTGTATTGTATTGAATTATCACTTTAAAAGTCCTGTGAAATTAAAATGACTATTTTTAGATGTTCGTTTCAGTCTGTAAGTTTTAAGAGTACCGTGTGCTACAAAACAGCAAGAAAGTTTTCTTTAGATAATATAAAACTGATATAAACATGTAAAGCTTGTAGTTTGTCACTTTTGCCTAAATCAATTAACAATTTTATTTCACGTCACCTCATACTTCAGTTTCTCATCAAATCTTGACCAATCAAATGCTTTTTAGTATCTGACATGCCCCGTCCCTTTCAAGACGTTTCTCATTTGTTTTACAATTGATGCGCTTGAGCTCAACCACTATCACTGGTAGAGCTTTGATAAAAATGAAATGCTATTGGCTGTTATTTTTTAAAGGGGAGGAGCTATGTTGAGATTACTTCACGATACCATTAACAAGACATTTTCAACCCCAGAACTGCTCACGGCATATTTTATTTTATTTTTTTATTTAATAAAGAACATTCTTTGTAAACCCTATAGATGGTTGTGCATAAAAAAATCCCAGTAGATCAGCATTTTCTAAAACGCTCAGACGTAATGAGCAGTTACACAAGTGTAAGTAAATAAAGTGACTGGTTAGTGTATTATATACCATTATCATGCTGGAGATACTCTGAGGCATGCATGTCAATGTGGAGCCCACCGTTTCTGAAGTGAGCAGGGCAAATTACTGTATTTTAAAAGTTCTGCCAAGTCTGGTACTGTATGCTCATAATGCTGCTTCAACTCATACTGTGCCACAAATAGGTTTGTTTTAAACTAAAAGATGTAGAATAAAAGGTCCCATGAAATTAAAATAAAGATGTTTTTTGATGTTAGTGTCATTATGTAAGTTTTAAGGATATTTATAAGCTAAGTGTGCTCCAAAACAGTGATAAAATCTGCATTTATGAGATATAAAACATATAAAAACCTGTAAAGTGTGTATTTTGTAACTTCCACCTAAATGGATCAATAGTTTTTATCACGTCACCTCATACTTCAGTTTGTCATGCTCTCTAGTACACAGGGTAGTAGTAATATTTTTAGTAATTTTTTTTTTCTGCTGGAGAAAGTCTTATTTGTTTTATTTCGACTAGAATAAAAGCAGTTTTTAATTTTTTTAAAAACATTTTAAGGTCAAAATTATTAGCCCCTTTAAGCTATTAAATGTCTACAGAACAACCCATCAATGTACAATAACTTGCCTAATTACCCTAACCTGCCTAGTTAACCTAATTAACCTAATTAACCTAGTTAAGCCTTTATATGTCACTAAACTGTTTAAAACTGTGTAAACTGTTTAGAAGTGTTTTTATATATCTTGAAAAATATATAGTGAAATATTATTTACTGTCGTCATGGCAAAGGCAAAATAAATCAGTTATTAGAAAGGAGTTAATAAAACTATTATGTTTAGAAATGTGTTAAAAAAATTCTCTCCGTTAAACAGAAATTGGGGGAAAAATAAACAGGGGGCTAATAATTCTGACATCAACTGTATGTTATTGGACATGTGAAATTAGGAAGCTCAAATAAATGGGACAATAACTGGATGTAAAAATAAAAGTGTGTGCTGTTTTCCAGGAAATTGTGACAATCGTGGTGTTTGGTGTGGAATATATTGTGCGTATCTGGGCTGCCGGCTGCTGCTGTCGCTACAGAGGATGGAGAGGAAGGCTGAGATTTGCTCGCAAACCCTTCTGTATCATCGGTTAGAAAATCATCTGCTCTCTTTCTTTGTGCCTGTTCTGATTTTCTTCTCTAATGCAAGTTTTTTTTCTCCTTTTTTCTCCACCGCTTTCTCTCTCTCGTTATTCTTCCTGCTCAAGAGACAATAAAATCTGCTTTGCCAACTTTTTTCTGGGGCAGTAAACGAGCAAAGGGTTGGCACTCTCTGAATTACGACACTTGATATGCCAGCGCTATACAGAAGAATAATGCAAACTCCATTAGTGCATGATTTGAAAGAAGAGATGATGCCAGTAAATATGAGATTGATAGTCAGATTAGTGAAACTATTCATTTAAAAATGACATTTCTGTCAGCATTTAATCACACTGATGTCATTCAAACATTGATAATTTTCTTCAACATTTCAGAACAATTAACTGTCCCTGTAAGAAACGCATTGTTTGCATAAACCATATGGAGAATATCTATATCATGTACAGTCAGGGATGGACAGTATTTATGATGCATGTATTTCAAATAGGTATTTCAATTACAAAATAGTATTTTGTAATTTGTATTTGATACGGTTGATGAAAATGGCTTAATATTTTATATCAAAATACTTTAGTGTCTTGTATTTTTGAAGTTTCAAAATACTGTAAAAAATACTTCGCAAGAAGTCTACAGTACATGATGACATCTTAAAAATGAAGCCTCTGATTGGAGCTTTCTGGTATTTTTCCAAAAGAAAATAACAGAAAACTACATTCTTTTTTAAGAAGGTGGTGAATGATTGAATGGATGGACATTATGCTTATGGCCCATTTCCACTGAGTGGTTTGATACAATAAAGTACGGTTCACTGTCAAAAGACGTACCGAACTGTACTGTACCGTACCACTTTTTTGGCACAATTGGAAAGGGTACCAAGGGTACCAAAAGGCTGAGCTAGACGTGCAGCTGAACGCTATTGGTTTACAAAAATATGTCATTCGCTCGCGTAACAAGCTAAAATGACAACAGGAACCGCCATGTTTTAAATACACAGCTGAGACATTACACCGTAATAATATATACATATAATAACAAGCCATGGTCGACCCAACCTCAAACAAACTTTGTCATCGTCTTGATGAACAGCCACAAAGCCAAGAAAAACAAAATCTACTGTGCCCTGTTGTTGTTTTACGAGCCTTTCTAAAAGTGCAAGCAGTTTCACTTTGTCCAGAGCTTGCAATCTCGTCTATAGTTGCAATAACTAACTTTTTGAGCTCATATTAATAATGTGCTCGTGATCACTGAAGTGCTTTGATATCCGATCGTTGACTGATGACGTTGATGACATTGACTGAAACTTTCTGTCGTACACCACACCCACCAAAAGAGGACCATTGGTACCCTTTTAGCAGTGGAAACGCAAGCCTGGTAAAGGTGACCCGTACCGACCACACCTGTCAATATTGGGATGTGAAAATAAGGGCTATGCCCACCATAATAAGGGATTCCCCCGACCCCCCTTTAAAAAATCCCCAAATTACTAAATATGCTCATTTGGAGCTGTTATGTTGTAAATAAACAGTTAAATAGTCAGTTATATGTTTTATTATTATTATTTTCAAAAGAAAAAAATTATAGTATACGTAAGCAGAAAATACATTGGCAAAAAGTTCAGCTCATTAACATTAATAGCGGTTATAATGAAATAGAATCAAGCTATCAAATCTCATTTTCTTGCAAATCTCTGTTTCTTCACTGTATAACTTACACATTCTGAATAAAGAGCAACGAATAAATGATTAATTTCGGGGTTTTTTTTCGTCTGATTACATTAAAGAAGAGGTGTCACTTTAAAAATGCACACATCTAAGGTTATAATGAAAGCATCTGACTGCTTTCCTGACTGTTTATGCTCATTTAGGACGAAATTACTTGTGTTTGAAAAAAAAACCCCACCAAGATCAACATCTTTAGATATTATTATCAGTTATGTGTCTATGTCTGTCTAATCGCGCACCCAAAACCCAGACTTTTGCACCGCTTCAAATCGCAAGTACAGAATCCGTTTGGGAAACAGCGTCTATTTATCACAATGGAGCACGTCAGCTAACAGTCACCTTCCGCTTTATTACTGTTTTGGGGTTTGCATATGAAGGGGAGACGGCACCTGTAATGAAAAGGAAAGGGAATCCTGCTGTTTTTATATTTATTTCAAAGTGTTTTCATGCCTAAACAAAGCGAAAGCACAGAACAGACTCACATTTAAGAGCGAGGGGCGGCCCCTGGTGGTTCGGCGGTATAGGTTACGTATAGGGAGGCTCAGCTCTTTAATGTTTATTTGCCACCCTTCAGAGAAAGACTGAAATATGGGAGAAATACAGGAAAAAACCCTTTACGAGATAATAGCGGGATAGAACTGTAAAATATGGGAGAATCCCAGGAAAAACGGGTGGGTTGACAGGTGTGGGACCGGCCCATACCGTACCGTACTGTACCACTCAGTGGAAACGGGCCATTAGAGAAAGTAACAGACAAAGGGTGAGGGTATATTCAGGAGCAAGTCAACAACCATTGACACTAGCTACACTGTAAAATCCTTTGAGGGAACCAATTGCAGCAAACCATTTCTGAGTTTAAAAACTAATCCTAATGAGTACTGTAAACTTAATCTATTTGAGTAAACAAAGCAATTTTGTGAGAAACACAAGTTACCTTTGGGTTACAAGTTCAACTCACTAATCATTAGTCCTCGACTTTTCCGATAGGTGAACGAAGTGGCAGAGAAAATTGTTACATTATTTACTTTACTAAGTTATTTTAATGATGACGGGATTGATCCAATAGCCTATTGGTGGAAGGTTTGCAAAGAAATTTCATGCTACCTTTTAAATGTATTTTGTAGGGTTTTCAAAATCAAAATACAGTATTTTATTTTGACACATTTGTGGCTCCTCTATTTCGTAGTTTATTTGAATACACTTAAAATATAACTATTTAGTATTTTATTTTAAAATACATTTCAATGTATTTTTGTCCATACTTGTGTACAGTCAAATGCAAAATTATTCATACTAGAGCTGCACGATATTGGAAAAAACTGATATTGTGATTTTTTTGTTTTTCTGCATTATACATACATATATATATATATATATATATATATGTATATATATATATATATATATATATATATATATACTTTTTTATATATATAATTTTACAAAATGACTCTTTTTGGAAAGTATTTATAGTTTTAGGGGAGTGCATCTGCATCTGCATAAACTATGAAATATGTCAAATAAAATAAAGCACAGTTGAAAACAATAGGCAAGGCAAGGCAAGTTTATTTATATAGCACATTTCATACACAGTGGCAATTCAAAGTGATTTACATAGACAAGAATAGAAGAAACAAGTAAAATAAAAATAAAAACAAATAATAAAAATTAGTAAAAAAAAAGCAGAAAAACAGGTAAAATGTGAAATAAAAGAATGAAGAAGAAGAGAAAAACATGATAGTGCAATCTGTCGGACGCAGCACAGTGCTCATTCAGTAAAGGCACAGCTAAACAGATGTGTTTTCAGTCTTGATTTGAACGTGCCTAATGTTGGAGCACATCTGATCATTTCTGGAAGCTGATTCGAGCAGCGAGGGGCATAGTGGCTGAAAGCTGATTCACCCTGCTTTGACTAAACCCTTGGATTTTCTAGTTTAAAAGATCCTAAAGATCTGGGTGATCTGTTGGGTTTGTATTCAGTGAGCATATCTGTAATGTATTGAGGTCCTAGGCCATTTAGTGATTTATAGACAAGTAATAATACTTCAAAGTCTATTCTGAATGTAACTGGCAGCCAGTGTAAAGACCTGAGGACAGGTGTGATGTGCTCTGATTTTCTGGTTCTGGTCAGAATCCTGGCTGCAGCGTTCTGGATGAGCTGCAACTGTCTGACTGTCTTTTTAGGAAGACTAGTGAGGAGTCCATTACAGTAATCCACCCTGCTGCTGATAATAGATAGAATAAAAAGATAAATAGAACAAAGATATAAGTGAAGTAAACAGCACCGCATAGTGCTGCAACAGCATTGAGGTTCAGAAATGCAATAATCATGTAAATTAACACCATATGGTCTTCATTGTGTAAATAAACAATTAATCTTTATTAAAGTGGAAAACTTTAGAATTTCTTGTGCCCAAATGGTTTACATTTGCTTGAACTCTTACAGTCACAAGACTAAAGAATACATAAAAATGAAAGAACCTAGAAGATTAGATCAAGTTTTCTTAATCCAAACATCACATTGCAGATCTTGCGATGTGACTATTGCTGATTGCACATGAGCAATATCAATGCCTAAATGATGTATTGTGCAGCTTTAAATCATACCTCTGGCAGATTCTGACTTAAACTTACTTTTATTCATCCAGCAAGATTTTTTTTCTGACCAGAAATAACAAAAGCTTTCCCAAAAGATAATAAGACCCTGTGGAAGAGGCATCATTGTGGAAGCTTTTAATAACTTTTTTACAAAAACAAAAAGAATTTGCCAGGGGTATGATTAATTTTGGGTTTAACTGTGTATGATATACATTTGGCGTGGTTCAAAAACATTGTTAATCAATAAATATATTATGTTTATGTAAAAATTAAGTTTATATTATGTTGGGGTTTTATGTGATAACTTAAACACACTCTTTATCTGCAGATATCATGGTGCTTTTCGCCTCGGTGTCTGTCCTGGCCGCTGGCTCACAGGGGAATGTTTTTGCCACCTCGGCCATAAGGAGTCTGAGGTTTCTCCAGATCCTCCGAATGCTGCGAATGGACCGGCGCGGTGGCACATGGAAGCTCCTGGGATCAGTCGTCTATGCGCACAGCAAGGTGACTAATAACATGCTTGATTTTGTATTTTCTTTTTTTTTTGCACAATGACTGCATGTGTGTACTGCATGTTTACTGGATGTTCAAACTAAGAAAAAAAGGTTAGCTACATTACAGGTGCACTGTGGCATCTTAAAGGAAAATGTTTGTAACCGTAGGGAACACTTGACTAGGTACTATAATGTACACATTTGTACTTTTTAGGTATAGATATGTACCTTTAAGTTACAAATGTGGATCCCAGTGGCAGCTTTTATACCTTTATTTCTGAGCGAGTTATACATTAGAGTATATACAATTGTTTGTTCATATACTTATTAAACTTATACATATACTTATTTAACGCAAAGGTTAAACAGGTTATTAGAGTAAGTGAGCATGTTTCCACTGGTCTGCCATGGGTCAGTAGGCAGAAAATTTATTATTATTCATTCGTTTCTATTACTGGAAAAATGATATCACTCAATTTAGTCTATAGGAAAATTAAGCTATTCACTTGTCTTGTGCACCCGTGAAATAGTCTGGAAGCAATTTTTTTTCTTTTATTGAGACTTTTTTTTCTTTCTGAATAGGAAGTTGGGAACAGGTGATTTAAAATAGTCATTCTAAAGAGTATTGTATTATTTTTTGAACTCTGAATTACTATCCTGAAAACAGTTTGAGAAGTGTTAATTTGTATTTCATTATTGTCCGATTATTGGAGCATATAGAGTGCTCTATTATTTAAAAGTTTTGGGTTGTATTTCTTTTTCAAAGACATTTATATTTATCAAAAAATCCTATCACAGTTTCCACAAAAGTAATAGTATATAATATATGATGGATCATGCGACAGTTAATATATAACATAATGTCTACCGTCATACCAAGAAATTATGTTTATTATTTATCAATTTAACTTTCAATTTAGATAAATGTTATATTTAAATACATTATTGATCGCATGAATCCAGGATTGCTGAGGATTATTGGTATCTTTCTTAAACATTTAAATATTGTCTGAACACAAACTCTGAACTTAAAAAAAAAATAAAACACTAATTTCTTTTTCTAGTTTTATGAAACCATGGATCATTTTTTCTAAATTTCTAATATTTAATAAAATGTTTGAATTTTTAATTATGTATAAGGTGTGCATTACACATTTAATTTTTTTAATAAAATTCTCAATTTCTGAATATAGGAGCTGATTACGGCATGGTATATCGGATTCCTTTGCCTCATCCTGGCATCTTTCTTGGTGTACTCTGTGGAGAAGGATGACAATGCAGAGATGTTCGAGACCTACGCAGACGCCCTCTGGTGGGGACTGGTAGGTGCTACTGAATCGTCATGACCTGAGACTGCATCTAATCAGATAAAACAAGATTATACAACACACTGAAACAAGATATGCTTATAGATCCATTTCACAAATGAATCAGTGCCCGAACTGGTAGATCTTTACAGTCCAAAGTGACTTTCATGATCATTGTTAAAACAGGATATCAACCTGGAATTGAACATATAAATCTGCATGTAATGTACATCCTAGAACCTTGCTAGGTTGTATTTTAGTAAATACTCAAGAGAGTGTGCTGTTATAGTGACATTTTTAGAAGAATTGTTAACAGAATAGTTAAAAAATAGTTTATTCACTCTCAAGCCATCTAATGTAGGTGGCACTTTTTGGTTCCGGAGGACATTAAAGAAGTTTTTTCTCTCATTTTAGCTTCAAATGAGGTCCTTGTGCTGATTCATAAAGTGAAAGGCAATAGGAACAACACTTTGAGAGTCAAAATAATATATTTATTTGTTTAAATGTATCTTTTATTAGTTTAACATTTATATTAAGGCAACAAACAGATGTTAACTGCTTAATATAAGTGTTTTATGCATGTTTATGCATTGTGTCATATCACTCCGCTCTTTATTTGAGTAAATGTGTGCCAATAAACTTTAAAAACTCTCCTGTTTACGCAGAGGTTGATATTAAATCCTGCCTTTGTTTTCAGATACATTATTAAACCCACAAAATTCTAATCTAAACACACCTCTGTCTGTCCCTTTTGTCAAGTATAATTTTAATTTAATCTATATTTCATCCACAACACAAGTCAGGAGCATAAAGATAGCTCATTCACTCCTTTTAGCTAAAATAAACACATACTGTACCTTCTATGTAGATATCAGAGAACAATTGATTATATTATTTCAATTCATTCTATGTCACCTTTAAGAAAAATAACATCCATTTTTTAGGTGACTCTTACAACTATTGGCTATGGGGACAAATTTCCTGTCACGTGGAATGGTCGTCTAATTGCTGCCACTTTCAGTCTGATTGGGGTGGCTTTTTTTGCTCTTCCTGCGGTGAGTTAAAACCGAAACGGTATATTGAACATCTTCAGTACCTGACTTGAAACGGCTCACAGATGCTTGTCTGTGTTCTAGGGTATCCTGGGCTCAGGGTTTGCTCTGAAGGTTCAAGAGCAGCACAGACAGAAGCATTTCGAGAAGCGTCGTAACCCCGCTGCAGGTCTTATCCAGGTCATACTCAAAACTTTTCTGTGATTCACACCAGACTTTTTGAGTAAATCAACATTTCGAGGTTGATCTGGAGTTTATAAATGTTAATGTATGTCGCTTTTTTTAGGTCTTGTTAACACTTGGTATTAAGACGCATTTTAGTTTTTGTAACAAATGCAGACGAAGCTGTGACAATGTCATAAATAAAATAAATAAATAAAATTGTGATTAAGTTCAGCAATCGCAGTAAATACTTTTATTATGGATAACGTCTGTTCTTTGAGAAGAGACGGAGCTTGGCGTCATAGAAAAAAAAGTAAGAGCTAGAAGGAAAGAGGGAGAGAAGGAAGTGATAGAGGGACTCTGGCAGTCATGGAAGACTCACGCTGCGGTGAACACACAGTATACACGCAGGTGCAAATGGGTTTTGAAACATAGTATAATGCACTTAAGCAGCCAAAAAACACCACCTACTCTCTGGAAAAATAATTAATGTTGTGTATGAATCCCATGAGCTTGGAGGACTGCATCCATACATCTCTACAATGACTCAAATAACTTATAAATAAAGCCAGAATGGCAAAGAAAGCATTCTTGCAGGACTCCCAGAGTTCATCAAGATTATTAGGATTCATCTTCAGTGCCTCCTCCTTCATTTTACCCCAGGCACACTGTTAAAAATTGCTGTTAATTTACGGCAAAATTTTAACAGTATAATCCTGTTATTGTCAAAAGCAGTATGTTGCTGTTTTCTTACAGTTTTTGAAATGACTTAGACAAAATTTAACATTATTTTACTGTTTTTATCACACTAATGTAAAAAAACAGCAATCAACAGTATTTTTCTAACAGAAAACATCAGCCATCACATGTGGATTTTCATCCTTTTGTTTACTGTGACTTACTCGGTAAGTGCACCTTTATTTTGCTCATTTTACACAAAATACACATTTGTGATTCCACATAGGCTAACTGGATGCTGATATTGTAACTTTTTTACATCTATTTTAGTGCTAAATCTGTCAATGTGCAAACTGCATCTGCATTGAGTGGAACTGGATTTCTGACACAGATATTTCCTGATTACACGGTAAGTCAGAATATGATATATAAAAATGATATAGGCTATAAGCTTATCTACAAAGTCAGTTTTTAAACATATGTAGCAACAAAGTAGTATTGATTTATGTAGCATGATGAAAAGATTGTCATCTCATTGCTAATTTTAGCTTTAGCTTTTAATAGCTACCTAATATGGCTTCAATGTAGGCTTTGATAAAACATTTATTTCCCTAATGCTGTGTTTGCAAATTTTACTGTAGTTGGTTTGTATTGTAATGCTACTTTGTCGAGTACAATTGGCTAATCACCACGATAAACTGTTTTATATGTCCATTTCAGTGCTGAACCTGTGAACATGCTAACTGCATCATAGAGTGGAGCTGGATTTCTGATACAGATATTGATTACTGATTACAAGGTGAGTTTAATGAAACATGATAACATGGTAAAGTTATTATTATTTGCTATGTGGTATTATTGTCCTAATAACTGAACATACAATTAAAAAATGTTACGCATACATTATGGTTGTTAATTTTGTCTCTTTCCTCATCATTGTAATTCTTGTCTTAGGCATCTTCTACTGTACCTGATGTAGAAAAGACCCTTGAACTACCTGCAATTCCTTGACTGATACTTTTTGGTATGTTTAGAACTGTATTTTATTACTTAAGCAACTAAGGGTGTTTTCTCTGTATTTTAGCAAACATGGTAAATTCTTTTGAACAAAACAAAATACACAAATACATAAATTAAATGTTCTGCCATATTTTATCCAAGCTTTCATTCACCTTTGGTGAATTTTACTAAATTTACTAAATTACTCCATTTTAGTTGTTTAACACTTAGTTGTTTAACACGCTATGTTGATCATAAATATTAAGTTAAATAAATCACAAACATTGCAGTGACAATTTCACAATACACAGTATATACTGTACATGTTGATTTCACTGTACATGGTGAGTCCACAATCAACATTTTCAAATGCATGTATTGTGTTAAAAGAACAGGGCTTTGAGACCAAGTAAAATTACTTCTGCTTCCCTCACATATATTTTCAACTAGGCTATAAAAAATAACATTTCATGCGACTGCTGACATTGTTTTTTTCTTTTAATTGTTTTAGGAGAAAAACCAGGAAGCTACATTCATAAATGGATGATCATTTTTGAGGGGCAAATAATCTGTAAAAGCATCCAGCCAATTTTTTTGTCTGGTATAGCGGCTGTGTTTTCATCTTACGACATTTTCAATGTGGAGAACCAAGCTGAGGCTGCATGCACATTGGAATTAATTCAGAGGTTAGATTCATGTATTTATTTCTCTTCACATTATTATCATATAAACTTTAACCCACACTAATTCTGAATGTATGCATTTTTCAGAAGCTTCATGGGTAAACCCTGAAAAAGGCTCCAAGAGTGGACACATCCTATCGAAGGGAATGGGGAAGGTCACCCACAAAAATAATTGTCAACACTAAGGTTGCCAGTTTACTTAAAGAAGCTATTGGACTTTGAGTGGGATGTCATATAAGTGACACCACACACACACACACACACACACACACACACACACACACACACACACACACACACACACACACACACCTTACACATCCTCTTCACTAATGGCACTCATTTTATTGTGTTAGTCGCGTACTTTTTTTCAGGTGTTTGTTCTTGAATACCTAAACTGTTCATTGTATTCTTTTTTATTTCTTACTAACTAATTCTGTAATTCACTTAGAAGTTTTCAGAGTAGTAATCGTTGTAGTAATTCCACTTTATTTTCCATTGCCAGTAATTTTGAAATATTTAAATGTAATAAGATGTAATAAAACTTGAAGTTACACTGCATTTTTTAGTTTTAGCATTGTTTCCAATAAGGCTATATGTATGCATTGTATTAAACTGTGTTTTTATAACAAATAAAAAATGTATATATACCTGTTTTCTTAGCAGTTTATTTCTCAGGATAACATATTTGTAGTTTACAGTTAAAAATTCAAATAAACATTAATTAACCGTTACTTTTGACAGTAAATTACTGTTAATGTAGAAAATAACAGCTTTTTGCTGTATTTTTAAAAAACAGTAACAACCTGTAAATTTCAACTACAGCTAGATGCTGTTAATTTAACAGTAACTTGCTGGCAACTGTGCTGCCAGTAACTTGCTGTTTTTTAACGGGACAATTTTTAACAGTGCATGCTCAATAATGTTCATATCTGGTGACTAGGCTGGCCACCTAGTATATCCTGGCGCACCTTTACCTTCTTTGCTTTCAGGAACTTTGATGTGGAGGCTGAAGTATGAGAAGGAGCGCTGTTTTGCAGAAACAAAAGCAACTTCTCTACATAATATTTGTCATTGTCTACTTTCACGTTCATATTTAAGCTGTTTTGTAAGGTTATTTTCCAACATTTAAAAAAATATTAAAAAAAATAAGACAAAGAAAATAAGAAATAACAAAAAGCGACATGGTGGCTCAGTGGTTAGTGCTCTAGCCACACAGCAAGTAGGTCACTGGTTTTAGTCCCAGCTGGGCCAGTTGGCATTCCTGTATGGAGTTTGCATGTTCACCCCGTGTTTGCGTGGGTTTCCTCCGGATGCTCCAGTTTCCTTCACAGTCCAAAGACATGCGATACAGGTGAATTGAATAAACCAATTTGGTTGTAGAGTGTGAGTGTGTGTGTATGGATGTTTCTCAATACTGGGTTGCAGCTGGATATGAATGAACCCTGAACATTCTTTAACTCAAACCTTTTATACAGCTTTCATGTACTGCCTTTAGATGCAAATAAAGTTGCTCCTTGGCTATTGTCAGCTGTGCTCTGTATGTTAATGCAGTTTCGACACCCCATTGTATGAGATGGTTCTCTGTGTCCCACACCCATCCCCATTCTGCAATTAGTACCATTTGCTCAAGATATTATCATTTCGAATGCAGAGACAACAAACTGTTGACACATCTTCTCTATCATTATTTAACCCTTTTGGGAAATGAGCATCAACACACCATTTAGAGTGGAAGTTGGGTCGAGGCAGACTAATTTCTTATAATACATTTACTCACCTCAAAAGAAATCCGGAATGCAGTAAAAGGATGGATTAAAACAGCAGGTGTAAACATGAATCAGCAATATAATCCAACAGAAGTATTTTAATACCAGGTGTTAGCAGGGCTCTAGAATGATATGACTAAAAATGTTAATTACAGCATATACTTAATTATTCATCACTGTGAAGGTCATGAAAGTCAATTTCATTCATTTTTTCTTTCCCGTCAGGCTGCTTGGAGGTTTCATGCCACAAACCTATCACGAACAGACCTTTTTTCCACATGGGACTTTTATGCACAGACAGTGTCAGTCCCAATGTACAGGTAGTCAATCATCCTGAGGGCCATTGTGACTGTACAAGTTTTAATGAAATAGTTTTTAGTATGCTGTTTTTCTCTCAATTATAATATTTCTCAGTAGAGTTTGGAATATTTTTTCCATTAGATTTCATTAAGCAGAAACACACTTCTCAGCAATTTATGGCAGTTTGATATGCTGTTGGTACTGTAGGCATTTAAAAGTCTGCTCCCCATCCTCCCTTTTCCTATAGACTTATTCCTCCTGTAAATCAGCTGGACATTTTAAGAAGTCTGAAGGGAAAGTCTGCTTTCAGGTTGGTTATTATATCATTTAAATATGTATACAAGTAACACTGTACTATGATCACCATATCTGTCATATGACCACAAGAGTTAAAAATATAAGACCCAACTGTCAAAAATATGGATTTTTGTTTGAAGATAGAAATAAATCAAACATTTTAGAATTTGTAAAACGTTGTGGAAAAAAGTAGTCAGTCAGTACACACTGTAAAAGTATAGGGGTCCACGCTATTCCTTCATGTCGTCCCAAAGCAAATCAATTAAGTTAAGTTGATTGAAAATAAAACAATTTAGTTGCAGGAAGAAAACTCAATAATTGTGTTGTTTCACCTTATTTTATAGAAATAGTTTAAACAAACAGCAAAAAAAAAAAAAAAATCACAGTACAGTAACTAATAGTAGTTTAATATAGTGCCTTATTATAGATTATTATTTGGATCAAATTATGCTGGAAAAACATAATCATAGGGGGTGGCATGGTGGCTCTGTGGTTAGCTCTGTTGCCTCAAAGGTCACTGGTTTGAGTCCCAGCTGGGCCAGTTGGCATTTCTGTGTGGAGTTGTGTACCTTCTCCCTGTGTTTGTGTAGGTTTCCTCCAGGTGCTTCGATTTCTCCCACAGTCCAAAGATATGAAGTATACAGTTGAAGTTACAATAATACTATTTATTATTAGTTTATAATAATAACAAATAAGACTTTTTCTAGAAGCAAAAATATCATCATACAGACATTTAATGATAAACATAATTTGTGAAATATTTAAAAAAGAAAACAAAATTCGAATAATTCTGACTTCAACTGTAAATGAGTTAAATAAACAAATTTGAAATTTGAAAATAAACTCCAAATCAAATAAGCTACACAAACAAAATACATCTCTTCATTTTAGCTAAGGCTTTGCCTGCATGTTGCATTTTAATAATGATCACCCAAAGATTCAGTATAAAGTGCATGCAGTTTTTACTACATACAGTGGGGAAAATAAGTAAGTATTGAACACGTCACACCATACAAACATAAGAATAAAACAAAACAAAAACAATTAAAAAAATCAGTTATGTGTAATAATGAAATGACACAAGGAGAAAGTACTGAATTGCTGAAATGTATTTAACACTTTATATAAAAGGCGTTTCTGGTTATGGCAGCTTAAAGACGCCTCCCATATGGACAAGTCACATTAATTTCTCAGGTGTATTCTAACAGAGTGTAAAAGTCTTGATGGTTCTGTGGGTCTTGTCTGTCAGATCTGATGTTTATTCTGTATTTTCTATTGGAATCAAGTGAGATGTTTGGCTGGGCCATTCTACAGCTTGATTTTCTTTCTCTGAAACCATTTGAGAATTTGAGACGAAGGGCAGGGGGTTGCTAAATAAAAACGGAGAGATTTTAGCAGCAGTCTGGGCTTTCACTGCCTTTCTATACCTCCCTTTCTTTATGTGTTCAATTCTTTATATCCCTTCGTCATTTCATTTTATTACACATAACTTAATTTGCAAACTAATTAGATTTGTTTTCGTTGCATATATGGATTTCTTTGTTTGTTACCAACATCCGGAAGATGTAAAGTCAACGGCATCTTTAGAAATAAGATTTCTGAGAAAAATAGTGACGGGTTCAATACTTATTTTCCCTGCTGTAATCCATCTGAAAGAAAAAGCAGACGAGCTGAAAGAGATTCAGATTTAATCTCTACCCCTTAAAGATTTAATTATATAAACTCCTATGCCAGACTTTTTTTGGAATCTAAATTCATTTGTATTATCTCATATTTTAATCATTTTAAACAGGTTCACAGATCACCAATATATCCCAAAAGTTATGTTTACATTTATTCATTCAGCTGTTGCTTTTATCTAAAGTGACTTACAATTGAGAAATCCAAATGATTTATCAAAAAGAGACAATCTAAAAGTGGGAGGAATGAACGAAAAGTAAGAGCAAACAATAGGTGACTATTTTTTATTGAATAGGTTTATTAAATAGTGTGTCGTCAAGTGGAAACGTGATGAGTTTTGAGCTGTCTCTCCTAAATATTGCCATGGATTTGGCATGCCAGATGGGATTGGGTAGATCATTCAATCAGAAGGAAACAGCAGCTTCAGGAAAACGATTTTGTCTGTCTGTGATGGTACCATGGGGTGATGCTCATTTTCCAGCCTAGAACTGACAAGGGCATGTGCATCATACTCCATTGGGAAGAGGCTTTGCAGTGCAGTCTTTGAAGGTCAGTCAAAAATTACCCCAAGATTCCTGAGAACTGTTAACGAACCTTGCTTGATGGTGAAAGTGCCATTTTACTAAGTGCTCTCAGTACTCTTTACCTTTGCTTTCGGGGTTTCCAGCTTTATTTTCATGTCTAATTTGCTCATCATCATGTTTTTCTCTCTTTTTTAAAGGAAGGACTCTCAGATAGATGTCACACCGAGGTTTGTCCTCATCAATATTTGACTATACTCAAATCAAAATCCCATTTAAACACCCTTTCTTGACAATCATAGTTTCAGAGCACCATCATCACATCCTTCAAATGAGAAAACGGCTTCTAGTGCTGTGTTTGACCTCATTTGAAATCACAAGTTTTATTCAAAGACAATCTGGTTGCACTTTATACTGCAGCATTTCCAAGCGCTTTTTACAGGGAGCTTAGTGAAACCATAGTATACCGGCTCAAAACAACCAGTACAGTTCAGAAATGTGTACAGTCACACCTGAAATGTATTACTCTATATCTACCCTGTAAAAAGACCTGCTAATCCTGTAAAAGTCAAGTGCAACCTTGTGAAACCAACACATTCCTTCATTTCATTCAGTGTAAAAACATCTACCCATCAGTTTTTGGGGGTTTTAAAGGGGAATACCTCTCATTTTTCGGTCCCACACTTGAACATTTTTGACCACTGCTTGTATAATCTTTTCTCTCTCATGACCCACTCCAACCACACTCGCAGTAGTGAGATTTCACACAAAGACACTCTGTGTGGGTGCTGTCCAAGAACCAATAGGTACAGTTGCACACAGATACTAATGTCTGCACGCCCAGATCTCTCTCTCTTTCTCTCTCCAGCATTTGAATTGATCTCCCTTCCCAGTTTTAGTTTTATTTTTATTTATAAATGTATTCCCTCAGCGTGTACCATCATCAGCTCAAGTGAAATATTTCAACATTTTTGAAAACAAGTACATTACAGTGCACATTGGTATAGGTGTTGAAGTATT